AAGAAGAAAATGAAATTAGTATGAGAATTTGAGCAAATCTAAAGTATCGTATACTTTTGATCCATTTACTGGCAGGAAAGGGAGAGAGAGGGAGAGAGGGGGAGAGACAGGAAGAGAGAGCGACAGAGAGAGAGAAAGAGAGAGAGAGAGAGAGAGAGAGAGAGAGAGAGAGAGAGAGAGAGAATATTAGGCATACATTCAGGGAAGTTCAACTCAGGATGTATCCGTGCTCCTATCAGTAAAAATAAAATCTCTTGTCATGGCTGGAGCTGCTGAGTTGGAGTGGACGGCTGCTTTTTCATCCAGCAGTATGATTTGAAATGACGCCAATTAGAGAGAAAGAAAATTACAGAGGTGCAAATGCATCCCGCTAGGGGTTTATCTGAATATTAAGTATAACAAATGCTTCGGCTATAGACTCCATTTTCGAGTGCAGCCACACTCCATCATTTCAAGGAGGAAATTTACTGAATTAAATTAGAGCCAATTTCCGGTTATAAAGGAGATGCTTCTCCGCTGTGGCTGGTAGGAGAGTCCCATGTTTATGGCCCATTTAAACATCTTAAATTGTGGCCTTGGACTCTGCAGGCCTGGATGCAGGATGAAAGCCTGCCCTCCTGCTCATGGCATGAGCTGGTGGCCCCTGCATGGCTGTGCGAGCAGAGGCTGGGCCTCAAGCGTCAGCAACGCCAGCAGCTAGTGCGCACGACAGCCGATGTGGCTCTCCATTTCAGAAAGCGTTCTCTAAGTGCTTCATTTTGTCTCTCAGGAAGGGTGCCCCTGTGTGCCACTTGCCATTAGTCCTCACGGGCTTTGGCAGAGCCATTTATTTCAGGGATGATTGTATAATGTAGATAGAAGACACTCTTTTGGTTGTGTTGTGCAGCAAGTAGGGCTGGAGGGGGATTCTAAGTGGCAGGCAGTGTGGCCCTGTGCGCCCACTGTCACAGCCTGAGATGGCCACATGAATAGCAGCGTATTGGACAGGAAATGCTCCTGTCCCCAGGAAAGGCTGGTAATACCTAAGGTTTATCCCAACAACCAAATACTATGGCCTGATGCAGAAAATTTAGTATGCGTATACCATTTTTTCAACATAAGCACCTGCCTGGCAAGTACAAGGTCCTGAGTTCGATCCCCAGTACCGAAGAAAAAGAAAATACTGGTTTTAGTTTGTGTGCAGTTACTGAAATAGAGACTTCCACCCAACACAGCCCCACTCATTCCTGACGTTTCCAGTCTGCGTTTGCTTTTTCATCGCTCACTGCAGATAGGCTCAGGCTCGTGCGCTGGCCTGAGATCACAGAGGCAGACCAAGCTGCCGCTGTGCTCCAGTGTGCAGTCCCCACGGGCAACATGAGGGACGCTTTCTTCTGCACTGTTTGCTAAGAGCAGTAACGCACTGATTTGGGGACCCAGAGGAGCGTGGGTTGGAGGCACAAGGAGAGGATGTGACCTCGCCTTCATGGGCACTCCCCATGCTGGTGACACAAGTGTGACTTAAGAATACATGACAATGGGAAGGCTTTACCTGGCCCCGCCACCGTGAGCCTAAGACAGAGCTCCTGAACTTACTCCCCGAAGCCAGCAGCAGGGCCTCGAAAGCAGTTGTTCAAGCAGGGCGACCTGAGGCCTGCCTCATGGGAGGAAGTCACCTCTGCTCGGTCCTGGGACAAGTGTGCTGCCTGCAGGACAGGAGAGCAAGTGACTTGTGTGCATCAGGCTGCAGCTCTTCGCATTGCTCTTTCAGATCCAGGCCCTGGGTAGGTGGCGGGCAGGTTGTGGTCCTTGTGGTCCTCTGATTCTATTACATAGCAATATCCGGCCGTGACACAGGCCCCCCTAGAGAGTGATCTGGTCTCTAATAGAGAGAGATCTGTGACAAGGTAAGATGCTTCACTTTAAACCAATTACTTCCTGATGGCCAACGTAACATTTCCCAGAGATGCACTAATCACTGTCTTTATTTTGGATTCTGGAAATATACATCTTGTGCCTTGCGTGGCAGGAGGTCGGAAGTCGCTTCCCACTGGGTGGACGAGGCAGAACCTGCTGTCCGAACTGTCTGGTTGTTCCCTTTCCGTTTTGCTTATGCTGTAGTGACTCAAGCCCGGGACAGCCTGAAACAGGGTGATGGGTCAGAGACCTAAGCCTGAGCGGAGCACCATGGGTGCAGCCGGCCTGCACCATGCACAGTGACACAGGTGTGGGGCTCTGCCTGCTCATCCCCATTCCAGGCCACCCCAGATGTTCATCTCACCCTGACTTCAGTGGAACGGGACGTTTAGTGGGGACAGATTACAGATTGTCCATTTCCTGAGCTTGTTGTGGTGTTGGAGGCCACACATCTCGAGGGAATTACCAGAAGATGAGACGAAGGAGGAGCGGAAGCTTATCTCAGTTATAGTGTGGTCCAGTGTTCGTTGAAAACACAACCGTGCACACAGACAGCATGAATCTGTGTAAACACCTGTGTCATGGTGCTAGGTGTACACACACCTTCATATCGGGGGTTAAATATAATTACTTTATATTTCATATTTTTCCCCGACAGTCGTGGTATAGAAACAAAATTAAGGCTCTTTTTAAAGTAACAAGATGCAAAACCCTCAAAGTAGAACATGGGGTCTCCTGTGAGCACTTGTGTACTACCACAGACCAGGCAACTTTCCACTGAGTGACACTCCCAGGCCTTCATTTTATTTTTTTATTTTGAGACTGGGTCTCCCTAAGTCACCACATTGTCCAGGCTGGGCTAGAACTTGTGACCCTCCTGGTTCGGCCGTCCAGGGCTACCACACCCAGCTAGGGCCCCTTCCGTCAGTGCTTTTGTCAGCTAGGAGTGCGGCCTGTAGAACCAGGCAGCATGTGGTCACCTGGAAAGTGGCCTCAGCAATTGCAGCTGTCCCCATATGGCTCAGTGAATACTGAGTGTCATTACACACAGGACCACGTACCAGTGCGTCGCTCGGTGCCTGGCTGCCGTGGCCGCTGCTGCTGTGGTGTTAAGTGCCGTCACCCTCGGGACCATCGCAGTGTTCAGTGTTGCTGCTGTAAATGTAAGCAGATTCAACCCCAGCAAATCTCCACAGCAAGCTATATTGTCGTTAAACAACTACTTTTAATAATAATGTTTTTTAAAAGGCTGTATTTTTCATATTTAAATTAGTCAATGATAGGTTCTGTCCTGGTGCCTTAAATCTTGTACCCAGCAGAAATCGGAAATAAGTGGGATATGACGTGATGGCTCTTGCTGCTGTGTTCCAGGATTCAGAAGGAGTAGAAATCATGTTAGGAGTGTGTGCCAGTGGCCTCCTGATATATCGTGACCGACTGCGAATAAACAGATTTGCCTGGCCCAAGGTTCTGAAGATTTCATACAAAAGGAACAACTTTTACATTAAGATTCGGCCGGGGGAGGTAAGTCTACTGCCTTTTCATGTACGCTGGAAAGAAGGGTCCTTAATAATCAACAGAAATATGAGCTATCTGCTCATAAGTTCTGAGCGTTGTGAGACATGGTGAATTATATCTGAATGCCTGGGAGAATTTGTTGTCAGTTTTTCAATAGACAGTAATAAATAACATGTTCTCTCTTTTTTTTATGTTGTTCTAGTTTTTTTCCCAAGTGGATGCATTAATTGAAAGGATTTTTTAAAACGTATTTCAATATAAAATCAAGAATCATGATTTTTTTTTATATATTTCAAGCCGTGAAGAATGACTTTCTTCCCTTGCATCTTGTTTTTAGTAGCTCCACTCCCTTTTTAATTTTTCTTGCAAATCTGGCTGTACCTTAAAGTGAATAGCGTAGAGACACTGTGGCTCAAGGTACAAGGGAGGTTAGAGTGAAGGATGCCAAGTGTGAAGTATGTAAATAGTCCACCGGCGAATAATTTCCATGTATTCCTACTATTTTTTTATCAGAGAAACTAGTGACAAATCAGAATTATTACCTAACCTTCGCTCTTTGGGCAGCCGCCTCTATAATCGGCTGAGACTTCTGTTTTCCTTAGTGGTTTATATATAACTGGTAGTAAATATCGGCTTCTCTCTGTTTAATAAATGCCTCCAATTTCTAATTGGTGTGGTACCGGCGAGGAAGACAGCTCAGTGACATAAGCGCCTGCCTGGCAAGTGCAAGGTCCAAAGTTCGATCCTTGCTACCATAAAAAAACAAAACAAAACAACAAAAAAAAAAAATACCCTAATTGTTGTGGGAATCTAATGGAGGCAGGCAACACACAAGGATTCTAACTCATTTACGACTCTGAACATTTTCTGATGTAATACACTTACCTCCAGCCTTCAAAACCATCCTCTCCACTGGAGCTGTTGGATGGAATGCAATTTTTCCAAGAAGATAAAGCAAGCAATAATGATGAATATAAATCATAGTTCTCTTTGGCAACTGAAACAATCTATAAGCTTTCTGTGTAAATAACTGAAACTGGAGTATTTTCAAATAGTTTCTGAATACTGTATGCTAAAACTGTAATGCACGCATATGGGTTCTTGACTGTTTATTAAGTGAACACCCAGTGTCGGGTCATCATGCTTGGCATTGGAACACGATCTTGTCACCCTCCTTGAGTTTGCGTATGAGGGAAACAGAACCGTGATGCAGACGCGATGCCCTTTCGGAAACAGAGTGGGGATGGTGTTGTCAGAGGCCAGAAAGAAAGGTTAGAGTCTGGACAGGGATGACAGAACGCTTAGGTCAGGGCACGTGCCCTGGACATGTGGCCTTCATCGTGACACTCGCTCCGCAGTGGTGCAGCATAATAACCACAGCGCCAGACCGGGGCAGGGAGCCGAGGAGAGGGGAGCAGGCGAGAGGCGCCTCGTGGGCAGATCAGGCGGCCGGTGGGCTGTGGGCAGAACGAGCCCAGGAGAGCTGGGGCTGCTCCCCGAGGAAGAGCTGTGCCCTTGTGTGACAAGACTCTGTCCCTCCAAAGAGTTGGAGAGAGAGACCAGGAAAAGCAAGGTGGGCTGGTGGAGATGATTTTAGCCAAGAGGTAAAAGGAGATGGGAGTGAATAGCAACCCAGTGCGTCTGTGACCAGCACTCTAGGAGGCTGAGGCAGGCGGGCAGGAGTCTGAGCCCGGCCTGGGCCCCTTCACAACTTAGTTCCTCACTCAAAAATTTTAAAAAAGGAGTTAAATAACATTTGCTCAGGGCCTCGCCTCATCCAAAGAGCAACGGAAGTTAAAGTAGGTGTCCTAAGCTTTGTAAATGAGGAGAGAGAGATGGATGGCAGAGAAGAGTGGCTGCGGGGAGAAAGGAACCGAAACGTATCATGTACGGGTACAAGTGCCTTATGACAAATATGATCATTATGTATATCTAAAATGTACCGATAAACCTAAATTTTTTAAAAAAGGAAGAGGCTCTAAGATGAAAATTCTCGGTAACACTATTATTTGAAAGAGTGGCAGGCAGAAGAGAAACAAAGAAATTAAGAAAACATCTAGACAAAAGTGCAGGTGGCAGGTGACAGATGAGGCTCAGGGACAAGGGCTGGCAGCATCATGTGTTGCACAGCAGGATACAAACCAAAACGCCCTCATGGTGGGGTTGCAGGGTGACACCTAAGAGCTCAGGAAGCTGTCAGCAGCTCCTGCGGGGGGCGTTGGTGAAAAGTCACCACACAGGTGGCGGTCTTGTCTACTCGGTCCTCAAGCTCGATGTAAAGAGTGCAGTGGGGTTCTGTCCTGGCAGAAGCCAGCTCAGACAGAGGCAGGGCAGCCACCCCCCATTTCACCTTGGGTGGAGAAGAAATTAGCGTGGCCCCTGGTTCTGCAGAGGACCACGGGAGCAGATCCTGAGCACACAGGCCAGGGCCTGGGTCACTCTGGTGCTGAAAAGGATGGCAAGCGACTTGCCATTGGAGACCCATCTCTGAAGGAAGAGAGGAGGTGGGGTGAGCAGGGGCTAGGAGGGGGGAAGGGTGGGGAGGAGGTGGTGGACTGCAGTGGGGCAGCTGGCCAGGAGGGCTGACTCGAAGTGTTGTGCTGCTCAGTTGAGCCAGCTTGCTGAGAGCGGTTCATTGTGTACTTCAGGGTACCCCGCAGAGAGGACTTTGGGTGTTTCCATAGCAAATAGTGCATGCTGGAGGTGATGGGTACGCCAGTCACCTTGATCTGATCACTGTGCATTTTACCTGTATGGGCAAGTATCACAGTGGATTCCAAATAGCTGTGCAATTATTTTTTTGTATCAATAAAAATTTTGCAAAATTAAAAAAGCAAGAGTGAGATGGAGTCTTCTGGGCATCTTGCAGTAGAAAACAAGCTGATTCCCTGCTAACCCTCAGCCTTAGCGGAGGGCGTGTGGGAGACACAGGGTGCATAAGGAGAGAAGGTATCCTGGTCCGGAGCCCCACAGTACTCGGTCCTTCGGGCAGCAGCAGTTTCTACAGTCGCCCCTCCTTCTCTAAGTCCAGAGTAAATATGAAACTGGGGAAGCCAGTACAATTTGAGCAGTGGGTCCTGCGTTCCCCAGTTCTGCCACCATATTCAGCCGATGAAAATGAGAGTTTAGGTGTGAGCGCGCCTCCGTGCCTTCTGTGTGACCCTCGGTGCCACCCGTGTGACCCTCAGTGCCACCCGTGTGACCCCACCTTGGCTCTTTGCTTCGCAGAGTGCTTTTGCTGCTGGTCGCATCAAAGTGCAGTTGCTGTGTGCTCTCTGAGATGAGCCATTATTGTTCCAGGCGATTGCCCTCTGCTGGCTTGATGGTGACTGTCTCCAGGAACGGAAAACTTAATTCTTCATCTGCAGTAATAGTACTAAAATGTTGGCAGAAAAATCAGACAGGCTATTTCATCTTGAAAAATCAAAATAACTGACGGTGTTCTCTGAAAGCACCTGTGCTACGAAATAGGAAAATGCATTTCTCTTAGTCTCTGACCTATGTTGTCACCCGAAGCAGAACAAACAGATGATGGTGGCCATATGTGATGCCAGGCCATCAGATACCTAATGTCCTGGCCAGATGCTAGAGGAAGATGTCATCGCTAAGCAGGCTTTCGCCTGAGAACCATCTTACTCACTGCTGTGAAGATAAGACTGAATCATGAGATCGGCAGCACGCAGGATCTCTGGAAGGAAGCCCGGGCCTTCTTTTTTGTGTTTAGTTTTCTTGAGACTCATACTTGTGCAAAAGACATTTAGTACCTGTGTGCCACGTATCGGTACTCACAGCATTTTAAAGAGACAGATGTAAGGTGTTTCTTAACAGATAAGTATATATAACATGAATTTCTGCATATGTCAATTCAGTGAGTAAAGAAAAATGTGTGGGTGGCATTATGATTTTGGAAATTAGTCACAGAGCTTCTGTTATTCATAATTCTAAACCTTAGTCTTCAATTTTTTATGCATGTATTTTAGTTTGAACAATTCGAAAGCACCATTGGGTTTAAGCTGCCAAACCACCGAGCTGCTAAGCGCCTGTGGAAAGTGTGTGTGGAGCACCACACGTTTTTCAGGTAGGTGAGATCGTTTTCCCCGTGAGGAAGAACTGGAAGATTGCAGTCACTTAGGCCGAAGATGCTGGGAGGAGGGATGTGGGAACGCGCCCCTTGTGTTCCCCCAGCTTCACAGCACAGACTGCCTGATGGGAAACCCTAGAAGCATTTCTGATGAACTGTGGAGACCTTTTCGTCTTCGCTCTCCCACTGCCGTTACTTCTTTACCCCCTTCAGTATTCATCCTTGCCAAGGCGATGGTCCGTTCCTTACTATTCCAGGAATTCGTCCGCCGCATCCTGGGCTCTCACCCATACATGGCACCAGAGCAGTCCATGTGCAGCCTGTAAAACAGCAAATCAGGGCCAGGGATACAGCTCAGTGGGACAGGGTCTGCCTGGCAAGGCACTGGTGTAGATTTCTAGTATGAGAAAGAGAGAGAAAGAGAGACACAGAGAGGGAGGGAGGGAGGGAGGGAGGGAGGGAGG